GTTCCTGAGAGGAGGAACAACTGGCCCAAAGCCACAACTCTGGTTGATCACTATGTAACCTGATTCCTACCCTCGCGGCCTTCAGGCCTTCATCTCTCAGGAACAGGGGCGTCACCTGCACTGACTTGCTTGACAAGGTGGATCATAAGCTTCCTCAAGGTACATGGCAGACGGTGTATTTCGCAAGGATGGTCAGAACACTACTGCCCCCCTACATCATCTTCTTACAAGGAGACCCTGGCACTTCCCCATCTAGAGGTGGGTTCGTGCACCTGAACACACCTTCGTGCACACCTCAACCAACAGAGTACAGAAGTGGTGCTTCCCAGACTAGGTGATCAAGGGTCACAGAGTGTCCACCTGGCTCTCTCGGGGACAGTCACACTGAGAGCCCAGCCACTGTGCTGCGAGGAAGCCGACGCCACAGAGAGGTGCCCCACATAGGTAGTGGCACCAATACCTGTCGCTTGAGGTTCCAGCCAGCGGTCACATGAACCAGCAGACACATACGTGAGAAAGCCTTCATCATGACACCCCCCTCAGGCCACCTTAGGACCACAGTGCAGAAGACACCTTGAGTGCAAACCTTCAGCCGAGCCCAGCAGAGATCCCAAATGGGAACTGCCAGTCAACGCACCATCAAGGCCTCACACACTGAAACCAAATAATCAGTGGCACTAAACTCAGAGTGGTCTGTCATGGCCAGGTCTGCCCAACTCCAAAATGAGAATCCTCTTCCATCACACCACTGGGCTGAGATATAATCTAGGCTCTCACAGCCCCACCCCTCTGGGCCACAAATGCATTCTAAAAGAGGAAGAAAAACCTTATCATCCTATTTAAGCTCTTGTGAAGTTTAAACTGGGGCTTTTCCAACTTGACCATGCACGCAAATCATGCACAGACGCTGTTACAGTGGCCCCTCTGTCAGCTTGGGGCGGGACCTGGGAGTGTGCATTTCTCACAAGGTCCAGGTACCAAGGATGTTGGCTATGGACCCCACACTGAGAATTAAGAGTCTGAATAAGGTGAAAGCTTGCAGCACAGAACCAGGGGCTCCATATGTTAGTCCTCTTCCTCTCTCTACCAGATATTAGAAAGCAAAGGCCAAGAAAGGTGCATCTCCTGCTATCATGGAAGATGTGGGGGAGACCTCAGCCTTAAAGGAGACCCAGTACTGTGTGCCAATCACACACAACGACAAGAAGACTGTGTGCCGATCACACACAATGACAAGGCTATGTGTCAATCACACACAAGGACAAGACTGTGTGACAAGACTGTGTGCCGATCACACACAATTCCAAGACTGTGATGATCACACACAACGATAAAACTGTGTAAAAACCCCACACAATAACAAGACTGTGTGCTGAACTAAGTATTCTCCTGAGCGCTGACCTCACACAGCAGCAAGTTCCCGGTGAGGGCCCACTGTGTGCTGAGCCAGGGCCCTGGTGAACAAGGAGGCCGTATCTTAACACAAAGCCATCACTGAACCAAAATCCTGCCCTTCCGCAGGTCACAGCCACACAAAGCATGATCTTATAGAATAGGCAATCCAAGGTTTGAATCCCTGCTCCACCTTACGCTGGGCAAGGCACTTGGACCTCTGAGACTTGCTATCTTCATTTGTAAAATGGAATAAACAATCCCAGGAGTGTTGAGTTTAACACCACACCTGATACATCACAGGCACCTAACAAGTGCCCATTCCCTCTCCTCACCTTGCCCTTCACAGAAAGAAAGAGCTTCTGAAAATGGAATGGAGATAAGATTTTGCTGGAAGGCAAAAGGAGATCAAAACTAAAGGAATGCTGTAGACTCTGAGCTGGAAAGCTTTCCCTGTACGGGGCTAGACAGTAAATATTTTAGATCTTGTGGACTTTAAAGTCTCTGTGGGAAATACTCATCTCTGCTTTGCACCATGAAAGCAGACACGTGCATACAAATGGCTGTGGCTGTGTTCCGATAAAACTTTATTTACAAAATAGGGCAGTGGGCCAGATTGGGCCTATGAGCCACTCTTTGCCAACTCTGGTCTAAATTCTCAACTGCAGTGAGGGTAAGGGGCAAGGCCGTAAAATTACTGACAAGAACCAGAGGACAGGCAAGCCTGGACTGAGAGTGCCTGGCAGTCAGCAGTCATCTCCTTTACTGGCAGAAAAGATGCAGGATACACCAGCTCACATCTGCCATCCTCCCCTTCTGTGCAAACAACAATGGTTGTCACCTATTCTGAGATTAGGACATGGGCGAGAGGCAAGGCAGCAGATGTGGAGGGGAAGCTTGATGTACTCGATCCAAGAGAGAAACAGCAACTGGGAGAAGTCGGGTGTCATCCCGTCTCCACCCAGCCTCCAGCCCCAGGCTGCTGGGAAAGCAGACAGCTTCAAGGGAGGACAAGGACAGCTCAGAGCCACCAATGCAGAGTGCCCAAGAAAGATGCAAAAGGGACTATATCCAGAGGCCCGCGGGGAACCGGGAATCAGAAACTCCCTATTCCAGAAGGCTCTCTGGGGAGGGTCTCTACAGAGACAGTGCATGTCCTCAGGCATCATGGAAGAAGTGGAGGGCCAGATGAGTTCCACGCATCCCACCAATCTCCAGGCTGGTTCACATCACAGCTGGTCGACCAGCCAATTAATTCAGTGGGGGTGGCTTGTTCATTGCAGTCTCTGACTCCAGAGGATACTCCGATTTCTTAAACACTCCCTAACAGGGACACTGTGAAGCCACACGCTCACAAACGTTACTGAGTGACACAAATTCTACCGCAAACACTGGTCCCCCTCCTTGGTGAGAGAGATGGCCAGGGCAACAATGGGGGGTGCTCTCCCAGCAAGGCTGCTGCTCATGTGAATATTGTCAACACACAACCACACACACACACACATCCACACATGAACACAATGGTGAGCACGTGAATGCACAAGGACACAATCTACAAGCACACACTTACAGTCATATGAACACATACATTCAGAGGCATAAACAAGCGCATACGCATGTGAACGCAAACACTCAGGGATGCTAACAGTGTGTTCACAAGTGTCCACATGCAGATACATACATGGATGTACACGCACATGTTGTTGCTGTGTGCTGTCAAGTTGGAATCGAACCATAGCTGACCATCTAGGGGGTTTTCAGGGGCAGTTAATCTCACAGGAGGAGCTGTCCATCCTTCAACTGCTGAGCAGCTGGTGGAGTTAAACTGTGAACCTCTGAGATTACGGCACAGCTTCCAACCAGTCGGCCACCAGAACTGCCTCTCTGTAGGCACATTCAGAGATGCACAAACACGCACATCCATGTCCTCAAGCACAGGGCTTCCGTGAGGCCAGAGGAGGCTCCACTCCAGCTCACTTGCTGGCTCGCTTTTACTGGCCTAGCAGTTCCACGGTGGCCACAGAGGTCCAGGCCCAGGCAAGATGCCACCTTTGTCTGCAGGGATACAAAAACTCCTGCCTCTCTCTGGTGGGTATGGAGAGGTGAGTCTGGCCCTATCACAGGGTATCACTTCAGTAAAGAATCCTTTAATAAAACTCCTCTGTTATCATCAATCAAGAGTTGACAGTCTCTCGGCACCTCAGGGAAATGTCAAGTCACTGATTTATGGCCAGACACCTCAACGTGCTCCAGTCACATTGGCCTTCTCTGCCAAACCCTCAGTACCTCAAAAGCACACCTGCCTCAGGGCCTTTGCACTTGCACTCTAGAGATTTGCTCAGGGCTCCTTTAAGTCTGCTCAGACAGATTCCTCAGAGGTACCTCAGTGAGCTCCCTCATATAACCCTCAGCCTTATTTTTTAGTCTCCTTGCCTGTCTCATCAGCATTTACCACCACCTGGAAGCCCTGGGTGATGCAAACACCATTGGCCGCTAACACACTTGGCTATGAACCAAAAGGAGGAAGCTTCACGTCCACCCAGCGGCACCTAAGAAGCGAATCCTGGCTGTCTGCTTGCAAAAAGTCAGCCACTGAAAACTCTACGGTGCACAGTTCTCCTCTGGCATGGCATGGGGTCGCTGTGAGTCGAGGCTGGCCTAGTGGGAACTGGTTTGCTTTTGGTTCATTGACACATAATTGGTTCCTGGGTTATCATGTGTCTCCTCTGTGATGATGAACACCTCAAGCTGGAAGGGAAGCAAGCCCATTGCCCATAGTACATATGGTGTCCAGGGGACAGAAGGAGCAACGGAAGGAGAGAAGGAGTGAGGACGGGAAGTAGGGCCTGAGGAGAGGAAGGCAGAAAGAGAACCAAGGATAATAATGGCTCTGTCCCCTTTGATCCTACCAGCAGGAAAGTCAGCCATGACCTCCTGTTCTCACAGGATTCCTCTCATGTGGCGGGGACAGACCCAGGACTCCCACCGGGCTCACGTCTTCCCTTTCTCTTCTCACAGGATTCCCCTCACACTGAAGGAAAGGGTCAGAGTTGCTCACTGGGCACACTGACTTCCTGTTGTTCACACAGGGGCCCTTGAGGGAGCAGCCCCTTGCACTCCTTTCATGGTGTGTATTGACACGAGGCGGAAGCAGGATGGCGGAGCATGGCAGGGAGAGGTGGGAAGTGTGGGGAACAGGGCAAACCTCCTCAGCTCAGCTCAAGCGCTGCCAGGCCAGATTATGGCCCTAAAGCTGCCAGAATGTCACCTTTCCTTGGAAACCTGGACTGTTCGAATTTAGGTTAAGATTTCCTGATGTCTTACATTTCCTAAAATCACCACGTTGGCCAATGAGATACCAATAGTTCTGCGAGACACAGAAGTTTACATCTACAGAACAGACTCTCTCCTTAACCCACAGGCACATTTGCGCCTCAGGGTTTCAGTCCGTGAAGGAAATTTGAGGAGCATGGAATGAGGTCTCGAATGGACAACAGGGACTCAAAGCAAGTATCCAAGGCATGCTGGCTAGCCCTGCACGTGGCTTCCCTCACACCACACACCCACACTCATGCACACTGGTGGACACGGGCTTCGAGGTCACTTACAGGGTCGTTGATGGTTTCGGAGAACAGGGGCGAACGGTCCGAGAAACAGGACAACACAAGCTGAACCAACACAAGCAAGAAGTAGCCGTAGAAGGTGGCATCTCGAAACACGTCCACGTCGGCATCCTAAACAGGGAGAGGAAAGGGAAGGAAAAGGTCACTTCCTGGACAACAGCTTATAACAGCACTAAGTGCTCAAGCGCTGATGACAAGCCTTCTCTCCCCATCCCACCACCCCGGGGAGAAAGACAGTCATGTTTTGGGGTGATGGAGGGGTCCTTGGCTCACTACCACCTCCTGAGAGAGCTGTGCACAATGTGAGGAAGACTCGGTTTGAGAGTAATACAAACTCAGGTTCAAAGCCTGGCTCTGCTCTCACTGTCTGTGCAACCCTGCCGGTGTTAGCTATAAAAAAGAGTGCGAGGGCGCAAGGGCGAGAAATAAAGAAATCGGTCCCAAGAAACGAACAGGCCTTTATTGCGCGGTCTGAGAGGGACGCCAAGTGACCGGGCCACATGGCATGGGGACAGGATCAAAATGGCACACCGGCAGTTTAGGGGGGTTTCCTTTTTATAGGGGTCCTGGGGAGGACTAAGATGGTACTTCTCGGAATTTGGTATGTTAATTTAGTTAGGTTTTAGCTATTTTAACCAAGCTCAGACTCTTACGAGGATCCACTGTCTGGTCTGGTCTTTGATATGACCAGCTTAGATATTATCAAGTTTCGCAGGAAGTGATCAAGTGTGGGGGTGGCGGGGCAACTGCCATATTCTTCCTTCAGCCGGCTGATCTCATCTCCCTGCACGTCAGCTTACGCAGTCTATAAGTGGCCATACCTGACAGACCAGTGGTTCTGAATGGGGGCAGTCTGCCTCTAAGAGGACAGGGAGCCGTATCAGTGCGTGCTACAACGCGAAGGGCTTTTCCCAAGGACTGGTTGTTGTTGTGTAGTATTGAGCCGGAACTAATCCATAATGTGGAAAGCTAAATTTCATACTAAATATTTATAACAAACCGAATGCCCTATCAGGATATGAGGGAGGCGGGGATGCAAGCTGGACTTCACTCTGAGATGAATTCCAAGGCAGACCTTAGGTGTTCAGAGAGGTGAAGCGCCAATAAGGCACACCTTCAGTGTTCACACAACTCTTGTGCTAACCCCTCTCTCCTGAGTCAAGCATAAGGTTTTCAATACAAAGAACTTAGCTTCATTTACATAGAATTCTCTTCGTGATTCGATCCCTGGCAATTTTCAATAAAGACACAAGGAAGCTGGGTTCTGTGCTTCAGTTGTTCCAACTGCTCGCTTCCTGCTTTACCTCTGTTTTCTAATACATTCTTGGTGTCTAGTCTTATTCTTTACCCTTGGTTGACAACACCATAGCTGATCCTCCAATGAGGGGTTTTTGTTTTGTTTTGTTTTTCCAGTTTCCAAAGGCTTTATTGGTAAATGTGCTTTAGAGAAGGATCCTCAGTCCTCCCGTTTCCAAGCCTGGAATGAAGAGCTGTGTACAGGAGCACATGGAGCAGTCTCAAACCGGGAGGACACTGCTGTCGTCCACCTCTTACTCACAGATCCAGTCACGGGCACAAGGCTTGCAGTCAACCAATTCCTGTGGCTTAAATTACAGACTGATTTCTTTCTCAGCACTTTTTACTGCATCACTGCCGTGAATGACGTTCCTCCAACTTGAATACAGAAGCCCCCACGAATGGTGCCTGACTTAGAATCTGCTGGCTGGGTCTCTCTAAGCATTACTCAGGCAGACTTCACCACATTCAGCCCCTCTGAGACCATGGCCACAATTGGTCCTGAGCTCGTGTACTTCACCAGCCCTGGGAAGAATGGGCGGTCTTTCAGGTCAATGTAGTGCTGCTTCAGGTGTTTCTCAGAGGCCTGAAGGAGCTTCATGGCCACAAGGCAGAATCCTTTCTGCTCAAAGCACTTGATGATCTCGTCCACCAGGCCGCGCTGCACGCCGTCCGGCTTGATGGCGATGAAGGTGCACTCACTGTTGGCAGTAGTGCTGGACGCTGCAGGAGGAGCAGGCGTGGGGTGCGCTGAGAGCAGAAGAGGCCGACAGCGACCACCGGGCCGGAGCTGTGCTCGGAGGAGGGGCGTGGGGCCTCCAGTGAGTGTTGAGAGGCAGTTTCATTGCATAGTAGACTGTCCACTTCTCTCCTGCAGAGGAGCTGGTGGATTTGGACTCAGAGACCGTATGAACAACAGCTCTGTGCCGCACCACGCCCACCGTCCCCACCAGGCTCAAGCCACTGCCGCAGTCCCTGTGTGAATTTATCTCACTGAGGGCTGGCCTCTCCTTCACTGACCCTCTACTCTTTCCAGCATGTCTCTTTTCCCAGGAGTGGTTGTGGTTGTGTACTGTTGAGCTGGAATCAAGCCACAGCTGATCCTCCAATGAGTTTGAGAGGCAGTTTTAATTGCACGGGAGGAGACCGCCCACCTCTCTCCTGTGGAGCAGAGTATTGATTCAAACTGTGTGCTTTTGGAATTGTCAGATTGTCAGTGAGGCTCCTTTATCACTAGGCCACCAGAGCTCCCTCAGGGGCTGGTGGACAGCAAACAATGCTCAGGAAAGACATCACCACAGGCAGCTGGGCAGAACAAAATGTTCCCCAGTGCCAACTGAAAACCTTCTCAGAGTAACTGTGAGAGGTCATGACACCGATTCACAGAGACACTGAAGTTTTCCAGTTGGTACCTCACACGCTTGAGCTGAATAAAATGGGCGCTGTCACCACTGCTAACGGGCACTGAGTGACCGTCTCTGCTGTAAACTGCAGGCACTCAATAAATGCTCACTCTCTTTTCTTCCCTCTTGTCTCCTGACTCGCCACGAAGACAGTGAGGAACAAACATGAGGAGGCATGAGTCTCAAAGGGCACACTCTTCCAACTCTCCAGGGGCAGCGCTCCGTGGCCAAGGTAAACAAGGTCTGCAGCCAGAGTGGCAGATGGCACAGAGGTGATGTGGGGACAAACCTCAGCTCCCTGGGGAATGGCCTCTCACACTCACACACACTGTTCCCATCAGGCTCCGAGCCAGACAGAGGTTGTCTGGAGAGACTCGACTTGCTGCTGACAGAGCTTTGTGGACTCTAAGGGAAAGACGTTTCTAGAACGAAAGCTGTAAAGCCACCGGCTTCCCTGATGGCATGGGAAGAAATCAGGCCCATGTGGTACTCCCAGCCCTAAGTTCCCACAGTAACACAGGATTTCTCCTCGTGTGAAAAGGAAGTAGCATTTCCCTCCGAGGGTCACTGAAGGGAGGTGTGGAATCAGACCAGCACTCACCTTTTCTAAGGCAGTCATGATTTTAGATCTCAAGATGGCAGCAGCACACAGCAGGGCCACCAGCCAGAAAATGAGCATGATCCCTGAGGACTGGACTCCCTTCCTTCTCTCCAGCTGAATTAAGAAGGTAGCAAGCAGCTGGAAGAGAAATGCAAACAGGAATTGTTAGAATATGACTGGAACCCCACTGGGCTCCCTGATTACAGTCTCAAAGCTGTGAGGCCCGTCCCATGAAGGCCCGTCCAGCAGACCTAGGGGACAGGGAAACCAAAGAATCTCTTTAAGCCTCTACTGTACAACAGAGATGGCACTGCTGTCCTGGAGGGGGTTGCAGGAATTTAATGAGATCTAGTACAGATCTGGGAAAAATGAGTGGAGATTAGATTCAGCTTAGCTTGGGGATAGGGCTATTTCTCTTAATGGACCAGGTAGTGGATACTGCGGCCTTTGCTATGTAAGCAAAGAATAAAACTTTATTCATAACCCTAGGAGCCTGATTGGCCTCTAGGAAACTGTTTACCCCACCCTTGAATTAGACTGAGGAAGACCAGAAGGTCACATCCAAGTGTAATGAGAACTGGTTAGGCTCATAATTACATTCATTCCTGGAACATATACCACACTTGTCATGTTAAACAACCATTTTACAAGTACTTACTCAGGCCACACACACTTCTCTACGGCTCCATTAAGGAAAACCATTACAATCCATCTTCAAAGAAATGACAGCTCGTAAATACAGAATGTAATCTACAGAAACCTATACTTGGACCAGGAGGTAGTCGTCAGAACAGAGAAGAGAACACGGCATGGTTCAAAAGTGGGAAGTGTGTACACGAGGGATATGTCCTGTCTCCATACCTTTTCAACCTGTATGCAGAACAGATTATCCGGGAGGCTGGGCTCTGTGAGGAGAAATGTGGGGTCAAGACTGGTGGAAGATCGATCAACAATCTGCGTTATGCAGATGACACAGCCCTGCTTGTTGAAACTGAGGAGGACCTGAAGCGCTTGCTGCACAGGGTCAAGGACTGCAGCCTCCAATATGGATTGAGGCTCAATGACAAGAAGACAAAGATTCTCACCACTGGACCAATTGGCAGCATCAGGATGGATGGTGAAGAGATTGAGATTATACACAGCTTTAGTTTGCTTGGCTCCACAGTCAACACTCTTGGCACCAGTAGCCAGGAAATTAAAAGGCACATTGCCATGGGAAAGTCTGCTGTTAGGGGCCTCTCCAAAGTACTGAAGAGAAATGGTGTCTCTCTGGAGACTAAGGTGCGTCTGATACAGGCCATGGTCTTTGTAATCACTTGTTATGCATCAGAGAGTTGGACAATGACCAAGGAGGATAGAAGGAGAATTGATGCCTTTGAGTTGTGGTGCTGGAGAAGAATATTGAGGGTACCATGGACTGCTAGGAAAACAAACAGATTGACCCTGGAAAGGGTTAAACCGGGTGGCTCCTTGGAGGCAAGGATTCTGAGGCTCCGTCTAACATACTTTGGACATGTTGTGAGGAGAGACCGGTCCTTGGAGAGGGACATCATGCTTGGGAGGGTGGAGGGACAGCGCAGGAGAGGAAGGCCCCCTATGAGGTAGATTGATTCAGTGACTGGGGTAATCGGGATGGGAGTGTCAGAGACAGTGCGATTGGCACAGGACAGAGCAGAGTTTAGGGCTGTTGTATGTAGGGTCACTATGAGTCGCAAGCGACTCGATGGCACCTAACAACAACACGTTTAAACAGATGAGGGAGAGAACTGTTTAAAAGAGATATATGATTAGGTATAATTGTCATGACAAAATTACAGAAATAGAAATGTATATTAAAGTGGACTGTGGACTGGGGGCGCATTGTATAACAATGAAAAGATTGGGTTTTTTTCAAAGAGAAAAACAAACTGGGGGGAGGGAAGGGCAGGGAGGAAAATGTGCAACAATGGGGGAAAATTAAATGGAAAGAAAATGCTGTAAAAAATATATGCTGCATTAAAAAATCATTAATTAAAAAAACCAAAAAACTCCAACAACAACAAACTGCTTTTCTGCCAAAGAAGAGAACATCACAGGCCCAGGTCAGACACACAGAGTGGCCTTGAAGCAAGCAGCCCTGGCTAGTCCCAAGACAGACTCCGGGGAACTACAATAGTCTCACCATCTTCACAGTTCCTGACATAAAAGAACCCAGTGCGGCAGCCACCGTCTCAATCCACCCACTCAAGGGTCTTCCTTTCCTTCGCCCGTCTGTCCACCCTTCCCATCATCATGTCCCTCTCCAAGGAATAACACCTCTTAGCAACATGTCCAAAGTATGTGAGGTGAAGCCTCATCATCATTCTTGCCTCCAAAGAGCATCCAGCTACAATACTCTCCTAGACACAGCTGTTCGTCCTCTTGACCGTCCATGGGATGTTCAGTGCTCTTCTCCAACACCACAGCTCAAAGGCATCAATTCTTTTTCTGTCATCCTTATTCATTGTCTAGCTCTCAGATCTAGTAAGTGATTAGAAAGACTATAGCCTAAATCAGATGCACCGTATTCCTCAAAATGACATCACTGATAGTTTCAATCTCCTCTCCATCCATCATGATGCTGCCTATCGGTCCAGTGGTAAGAATCTTTGTTTTCTTGACATTGAGATGCAATTCATACCAAAGGCTGCATTCCTTGATCTTCTGCAACAAGTGCTTCAAGTCCTCCTCACTTTCAGCAAGCAAGGTTGTTCCATCTGCATAACACAGGTTATTGATGAGTCTCCCTCCAATCCTGACGCCACATTCCTCTTAATAGAGTCCAGTTTCTTGGATAATTTTCTCAGCATACAGATTGACTAGGTATGGAGAGAGAACACAACCCTGACACATTCCCTTCTCAGTTTTAAACCGTGCAGTGTTCCCATGTGCTCTGTTCATACAACAACCTCCTGGTCCAGGTAACGGTTCCACATGAGCACAACTAAGTGCTCTGGGATTCCCGTTCTTCTCCAAATCAGCCACAACTTGTTATGATCCACACAGTCCAATGCCTTTGCATAGTCAATGAAGCACAAATAGACATTCTTCTGGTATTCTCTACTTTTAGCCAGGATCCATCTAACATCAGCTATTTGAAGTTGAGGGTGGTTTTCCCCTACCTATGTAGAAAATGGACTGATATTGTTGCTGATGTCAGTTTTCTTCATAGAAAGGGAAAAACCAACCCTCAACTTTGGGTCCCTAAAGAGCTAAAACAAGGCTCAAAGAGAAAAACCTATTAGAAGGACTCACACATCCTGATTGTAAACAGATTATGCAGCCACAGTAATCCTGGTACTAGTGTAACAGGGGCCACATAAACTAATGGAACAGATCAGAAGGTGAAGAAATAAACCTATTTATCTACAATCAATTGATTCTTTACAAGAGTGCTAAGACGATGTGAGGAAGGGGAAGTAAAAAGTCTTTTCAAAATATGGTGCCAGAAAACTGGGACTTTTGCAAGTAGAAAAATGAAACTGAGTCCATGCCTCTCCTATCATATGCAAAAACAAGTTCCAAAAGGATTAAATACATAAATGTGAAAATTAAAACCATAAAATTCTAACATGAAAATGTAGGGACAAAAGCTATTAGGCCTAGTTTTTTAAAAATGGATTAACCTGTCATTTAAATCCCAATTGGAAATAAAAATAACAGCCAAACAAATAGACTGTTGTTTGTTGTTATGTGCCGTTGAGTCGAGTGTGACTCACAGCGACCCTAAGTACAACAGGCCTGAACCCTGCTCTATCTTGAGCCAACATTATTGTCTCTGACACGCCTTTCCTCATTATCCTAGTCACTGAGTCAACCCATCTCATCGAGGGTCTTCCTCTCTTGTACTATCACTCCCCCCTCCCAAGCATGATGTTCCTCTCCAAGGACTAGTCTCTCCTGGCAACATGCCCAAAGTATGTCAGATGGAGCTACAAAATCCTTGCCTCTCCAGGACAGACCAGCATCACAACTCAAAGATACTGATTCTTCTTCTATCATCCTTAGTCACAGTCCAGCTCTCGGATACATAGCAAGTAATTGCGAAGACTATGGTCTGGGTCAGGTACACCTTCAATATTCTGGAGAGGTCCCTGACAGCACATTTCCCCAACAATATATTATTTCATATTAATAATAAAGTACAAACAGTAAAGGAAAAAATAAGTGAATGTTATTGTAACGTGCTGTTGAGTTGGAATCAACTCAAAGCTGATGCTCCAGGGGTTTTCAGAGGCTGTGAGTCACACAGGAGGAGACGGCTCGTCTTCCTCCTGTGGAGCAGCTGGTGGATTTGAACCACCTGCCTTTGGGTTGGCAGCGCAACTCCTTACCCACGAGGCCACTAGGGTCCCTTTCTAAATACATGAGACTCTATAAACTGAACAGCTTTTGTTCCTCAGAAAATTTTACCAGAAACAATGTGAAAAGACAAGCTACTCATTGAGAGACCATCTTCAGAAACAACCTATCTAACAAGGACCTAATAACTAAAATATGTATAAACTTTCAACAGCTTACAAAAAATAAGGCAAAGGGAGCTCTGATGGCCTACTGGCAAGAAGCGGGACTGCAATTCCAGAGGTGTGCAGTTTGAATCCACCAGATGCTCTGCTGGAGAAGGAGGGGCACTCTCCTCCTGTACCAGTCAGATGTGATTTGACGATACACACACACAAAAATAGGAAAATAAAAGAAAAAAAAAATAAGGCATGTAACTTAATTGCAAAGGATCTGTATAGACATCTGATCAAAGAGGGACGTTCAAATGGCCACCAAACACCTAAGAAGATGCTCACGGTCACCTGTCCTCAGAGAGATGCAAATCAAACCACAATGAGATGATCAAGTTCACTAGGATGGCTGAGGAGGGGGAAGAATGAAAACAAACACTGGCCAGCATACAGGGGAATTAGACTCTTCTCTCTGACACAGGCATTTCCTCAAAACTTCCTCAGAGCGTCAGTTCTTCAAAAAACAAAAATAGAAGTCTCTTTTGTTATTATTGGTAGGTGCTGTCCCATAGACCTCGATCCACGGCGAGCCTGTGAACGACAGACAGAAATCTTCCTCTATCCTGCACCAGCCTGCCTGTCTCCGCCACGTTCAGGCAGGCACTGTGTCAATCCATCTTGTCAAGGATCGTCCTCCCTTTCTCTGACCTTCCACCTTTCCCAGCATGATGTCTGTTTCCAAGGACCATTAAGTTGGGATCACTGGTATATCAGTTATTCTGGCCCCAAAAGACAGGGTCAAAGACTTTCAGACCAGCAAGGCAAGACTCCATTTTTGACCGACTCTCTCAGTGCATTTATGTAGTGCTCTGTGTAAACCAGGAACACTCCAGGCTTTGGGGAAGAAATTGTTGTTTCCGTCATGGTTATATTCCACTGAGTTGATGACTCACAGCAACACTATGAACAACAGCCCTGAACTTGGCCTCATCCTGAGTTAACCTGTGTCTCTGACACACTAGCCCCATTGCCACAGTGACTGTTAAGCCCTCTCATCCAGGACCTTCCTCTCTTGCACTTACCTCTACCCTTCCAAACATGATGCCCTTCTCAAAGAAGTAGTCCCTTCTGGTAGCACGTCCAAAGTATTTGTGACAGAATTTCAAAATTCTTGCCTCCAAGGAGCAACCTGGTTTCACTCTCTCCAGGTTAGATCTGTTCATTCTCTTGGTATTCCATGATATATTCAACACTCTTCTCCAGCACCACAATTAGAAGGCATCAATTCTTCTGTAGCCCTTATTTACTGTCCAGCACTCAAATGTATAGCAAATAATTGAGTAACCCATGGCTTGACTCAGGCACACCTTGGTCTTTAGACTGATATTGTTGCTCTTTAACACTTTGGAGAAGTCCTTGACAGTAGATTTTCCCAATGCCACTTATCTTTTGATTTCTTAAGTGCTAGTGCCAAGAGTGTAGATTGTGGATCTGACCAAGATAAAATTTTTAACAACTTCAGTCTTTTCTCCATTTATCATGATGGTGCCTGTTGGCCCATTAGTGAGGATTTTTGTTTTCTTGATACTGCAATGTAATCTATATTGAAGGCTGCAGTCTTGACCTTCTGCAGCAAGAGCTTCAAGTCCTCCTTAGTTTCAGCGAGCAAGGTTGTGTCATCTGCATAACACAAGTTGTTGATGAATCTTCCTCCAATCCTGATGCCACATTCTTCTTCATAAAGTTCTGCCTCTCAAATGATCTCTTCTGCATATTGATTGAAAAGGTATGGACAAAGGATACACCCTGATGCACTCCTTTCTTGACTTTCAACCATCCTGTGTTCCCTTGCTCTGTTCAGATAATAGTTTCCTGGGCTAAGCACAAGTTTTCCAAGTGTACAGTTAAGTGATCTGGGATTCCCGTTCTTCTCAATGTTAGCCGCAATTTGTTGTGATCCATACTGTCAAATGCTTCTGCGTAGATGATAAAACACAAATCAACATCCTTCTAGTACTCTCTGCTTTCAGCCAAGATTCATCTGACATCAGCAATGATATCCCTTGTGTCACAACTAGAAAAGTGCATTGAAAGAGAACTGCCAGAAATATAAGCTGGGTTTAAAAGAGGCGATGGGCAAGAAAAGGGTGACAAAAATATAATATGGAGGTTAAAGTCCAGCACACGAGTCAGGTACTAAGCAAACAGTCTCCCAGGCAAATACAGAACATCAGTGGTTACGAACACAAACAAATCAGGAACCAGGTGGCTACAGTTTTATTCCAGCTCTGCTCCTTTACTAGTTGTGAGATTTTAGTACAATTCCCTCACTTCTGTCTCTGAGTTTGCTTTCTGAGGATAATAAGCAAACACATGTTTCATCTGACTGGTTTGTGTGCACGCGTGATGAGCTAACACACTGGGCAGTATTAGCTACAAAGATAATATGGTCCAATCTGGCTCCAATGTGTCTTTCTTGTCCCATCATCTATCACTTCTAACAATCCTCTGCTCCTAGTTCTTACTCCACAGAACTGCTTCCCTCCTCCCTCCCCTTCTGTGAACACAATGCTCTGTTTGCTTGGGACGTCTTGCGCCAAAACCACTCACTCCTCCTTCAATGACACTCGACACCTAGATTCTTCAAGTACCTGCCAGGCTTCTTCGAGGCCCCAGCATCACATGGGTAAACACAGCCTTCAATGCACTACACTTCTTACCATGATCACAGCTCAGAATCTGTGGAACGCAGGGATGGAAAACGTGGCCTCTGAGGCCCACACGTCTCTTAGCCTCGCTGTACCTCAGTCTCCTCTGTTGTAAAATGGGTCAACAAAGCAGTCAGACTTCTTGAGATTATTTTACAAATGAGGGAGACAGATTCAGACACATAAAACACCACAAATCATGACCAGCATATGACAGCTGTCATAGACGAACTACCGTCCCTGTTCATATTTTCCACTAAGCTGTGGATCCCATGGACTGGGCAGTTTCCTATTCATCTTAACATCCCCACTCTCTACATCAGAGCCTGAAAACTCAAAAGACTGTTAGGTGGCAAACAGCTAACAGGGTAGCCAGGGAGAGAACAGTAAATGTAATAAATGACAGCACCGGCCATTCATTCAGTCTTGCTGTCAGGAGGGCCACGGGTCACAGTGGGAACCAAATGGCATGTGCCCATCTAAAGACAGCAGACGCCTCGCAGCTTCAGCTGACTGCCAGTCTCTGAGTTTCTCAAGAGCAGTCTTGTTGCACAATGTTGGGGAGGAAGGGAAGGCCTCTGGCCAGGACAGATCGCCTGAGCTCCAGATAGCAAGCCTCCCAACGGCCTTTAATATGGGGTAGAGAAAGCTCCCCTGTGTTTGGCTGTACCGGCTTAAGAAAGCTTGCCACCTAGGAAGACGGCTGCCGCGTCTGTTGAACTGGAAGTGGTCCGCACGAGGCTGAGGTTCTCCTGACCAATCTGCATGTCCCACATCTGTAAGCCCAACCTATCCTATCTTCCTGTGTATAAAAGTGCGCTGCTTATCACAATAAAATCGAGCTGGATTGACTCTCTGATCCTCTCCTAGAGTGGTGTATCTCCATCGTGCTTACTCCCATCAGGGTGTCACTGTAGGTTGCCGGCAAACAGACAGCGACACAGTCTGATTTCTGGATTCTGACTGCCAGATTTCCTCATTTCCAGATGCTGACAGCTGTTCTTCCCGGCCCGCCCCCACTTACCATGGTGACGCCCAGGAGCGTTGGACTGACTAGAAACACAGGGGCCAGCAACTTGCCCTGACTTCTTTCCCAGAAAGAGTAGAAGAGGTCTGCCCAGCAGACGATCCACAGCAAAAACCCCAAGGCCTGTAAGAGAAGCACACATCTGTTTTACCCAGGGTGCCATTGACATCCCCCCAGGGTATCTGACTCCTGGGCTCTATCTACTGCTTTATTCTCCCACCTTCTCGAGAAAGGAGTGAATAACCCAGGAAGGTGAAACACAGAGTCAGTTTTCATCACCAACACACATGCCCAGCCAGGTGGACACACCATCTATCCCCACCATGAGGAAACCCCTTGGGACTTACAGTTTTGGCTTTGTTGAGGTGTGTCATCTGAATGTAGCCCCGGTCATGGTGGGAGAGATAGAGGAAGTAGAAGGGGAAGCAGGCCCAGAGGTAAAAACAAGGCACCCACACAAGGATGGTGTTCTGAAAGCACTTGGTGAAGTCGGGATTGCTGGTGTACCACGTGCGGTTCCAATCCTGCAGATGCAAACAGGCTCAGGTCAACGAGAGGTGTCAAACAGGGATGGGAGGTCAAGTGGACTGAGTTCAGAACAAGTTGGCCTGGGGTTTCCAAGAACAGAGAAAACTCCTCCATCTCAAGAGCCTCTAAGGCTGAATGCAAGGACTCAGAAAGTAGCTCAATAGACTAAGAGGGCCTGGGTTAGGTCTCATTTTGTACAAAAGATGGAGACGGCAAATTACAGGAACTGTGAATATTAAATTAGAGGAACATGTGAATTTGTAAACTAAAGAATTCTGTAGTCATACGAATCAGCCCACTTCACTGTTTTAGGAATAGAAACATTTCTCATTTTCATTGTCACCGTCTCTCCTCCCAGAACTCTACCACTACCACCTCCATCAGTGCAACCAACACCATCACTGGTCTCATCACCACCAAAACCTCCATCACGTCCATTTCCACTTCTTCCAACACCACCTCCGTCACTTCCACCTTCACCACTTCCACCTTCACCACTTCCGCCTCCACCACTGCCTCCATCACTTCCACCTCCATCACCTCCG